AAGATACCTGAACACCTGATGACATCATCAGAGACATTTCAAACTGCAAAAGATGCTTCAACTCTGACATCTAGAAATCTTTTGACTGGCTGCCCCTGGGCTCAGAAACTGGTTTATAATTTGCTCCCACCATTAACCTTGTCTTTCTTTTTGTTTCTCTAGAAGTGCTTCTTATTAAATGCTTGGTTACTTGCTTACACAATATAGGCCTAACTTTGGAAGCCCACCTGCATCACCATCCTACTAAGAGACTGGTTCCATGAGATGGAACAATCTATGCCCCTCATCAGCAGGATATCTCTCAAGATTAAGGAATAAACAACAAAAGGGGGGAATTGGTGACCCAGATGGGACTGCACAAAGGGCATGATTTGCTTGCCACAAGATGAAAGCTAATCATCAAGAGGCAAGATGGTGGCACAGAAAGGGCATTTTATTAAGTGATAAGCTAGCAAATCAGAAGATGGGGGGACTAGTGTCCTAAAGAATCATCTTAAGGGGGGCACAGAATCTTGACACAGTTATATAGGCCAGTGGGTTTTAGGGGACAGGGTTAAGAATGTTGACCCTCTGGTGTTACGGACTGGGAGTCGTCACACCAGATCTTTCAGTTGTCATTTGATGATGGCTATCAGTATAGACTCTCTGTCTGGGGGTAATCATATTCCTAAGGAACTTAAAAGAACAAAGTTATCATCTTATCGCAGCTGAGAGGTACACACACAAGCAGAGGTCATAAAATCTACAGAGCAAGTAGATCTCCTGGAAGGTGCATATCCAGCTGGGTTAGTTAGTCAGAGGTTATTCAAAGTTATGGTATGGTTTATTTTCTGCAATATGGCTTCTCTTATGTCAGCCTTGTGTTGAGCCGGTATCAGACTCAAGCACATTTCCTTCTCATCACTGGCTGATATCTGAGGCCAGTGTGGCTCTGAACGGCTGGTCATTGTAAGTGTCCTGCCTTCCTCCTTTCCTTCTGAGAACACTTCTGCTGGGGAGGACTCTGGGGTTGAGGGGCTGGTGCCCAACCCCTTTGTGGTCCAGAGCGTTCATGGTTATGGTGAGCCCTGCAGTCCTCACTCCCCCTGGTGGATCAACATTAGCTGGTTGAACATCTGTGATATTTGCCATGTGTGTCCCACAAAGTCTTCAGTGGCATTTGTAGAAATGAGAGGAAATGCCGCTGGACAAAGCAGGCTCACTGAACACGGGATGAAGGACAAGGGCTGTGAGCAAATTCATCCAGAGACAAGATAGAGCCTACAGAGCCAGAGAGCCTGGCTTCAAGTCTTGGCTCCACACTTACCAGCTGTGTGTCCTTGGGCAAGTGACTCCATCTCTCTGTGTCTCATGTTTTGCGTCTGTGATATCGGGCAATAACAATGCAATCCTCAAGGGTTATTGGGAGGATTAACCAAATTAATCTCTAAGAATGCATGGCACAGAGTCAGGGCTCAATATGAGTCTGCTGTATCCCTCCTGCCTCTCCTTGCAACTCCTGTGTGTGTGTGTGAGTGTGGGAACATGTTGGGGAGCAAAGTGGGTGTGGGATGGGGAAGTTGATGGAACATGAGTGACAACTCCTCTGATCTCCCCACTGTGAGTCTGGCTGCCTGGCTCCTGCTCCAGCCCCACTCTGTCCAAGCTGGGTGACTTTAGAGATTTTACTCAACCTCTCTGTGCCTCTGCAAAGGGAGGCCAATGAGGAGTACGTACCTCAAAGGGCTGCGTGGAGGATTAAATAAGTGATTACAAGTAAAGCTGCAATCACATGCAAGACTATGAACTAGAACTTCCCCTAAGCCTTCCTGAATTTCTGACCCACATAAACCATGGAATATCATGAAATGAGTATTGTTGTTTAAGCCCCTCAATTTTGGGGTGATATGTTATACAGAAATAGTAACTAGAACATAAACATGAGAGGACCCCTGGAGACTATTCTGTGACAGAGAGCAGGAGCAAGACAATGTGTGTCATTGTCCATCCCAAGTGAATGCAAATTGCTTCTGAACTCATTATCTGATGAGTATTGAAAAGAACACATTTTCCAGATAAATAGCTACGTACCAAGCACCCGGAGCTGCAATCAACTGTTCTAGTAAAGATACTGCAACTGTGAGGGTGCTCAGTTAAATTTCTGGTAGTCCATCATCATCTGCCTTAAGCCATCTGGTTTTGCAGATTGGAGAGTTGAAATAGATGCAGTAAATATACTCCATTCTTTCTTTCCTACTGAATGAAACTAAAACCTGGGACACAGTGAATGAGGTAGCTCTCTGAGGATTCTGAAACATAAATGGTGGCAGGTGGATGGGGAAGGAAGTCATAACCTGAAGAATAAATGATCCATAGGTGAGTTTCCTGGGTTTTTATCTCTCTTATACTGTCAGCCTGGACCCAAAGGCAGCGTGATTCATGGAACTATGCAAAGTTATGAATAGAAAGAGGTCCAAAAGAAGTCCTCTCTTTCTGATCCAAAAAGCAGGAAGGGGGGACCCCCATGAGTCAAGACAGTGGAAGAAATCTCCTTTGAAAAACACAGCCCACAGAAGGTAGGTTGGAACTGGAATCTAACTGGGTTAGCCTGACTCTTACTGGGTCAATTGCATGCTAAAATGAGCACCCAATCCCCTCAACATTCTCTATAGGATTTAAACAAGACCCAGAGTCTCATAACATAATATTAAAAATGTCTAGTATACAGTCCAGAATTACTTGAAATACAAATAACTAGGAAAGTCTGACAAATTCTCAAGTGAAAAGACAGTCCATAGGTACTAACTCTGAGATGATCTAGATATGGAAACTAACAAACCATGACTTTAAAGCAGCTATCATCGCCATGCTCCAAGAGTCGAGTACTAACACTTTTGAAACAAATGGAAAGATAAAAGTCTCAGAAGAGGAGTGGAATCTTAAAAAAGAACTAAGTGGACATTTTAGAATGTAAAAATAAAAATAACTGAAATAGATTCAGTGGACAGGCCCAACAACACGATGGAATTGGAAGAGGCAGTAGTCGATCAACTTGAAGATAAGTCAATAGAAATTATCCAATCTGAATAAGAGGAAGAAAAAAAGGCTGAAAGAAATGAACAGAGCATCAGAGATTTGTGGGCCTATAACAAAAGGTCTACGTTCATACCATCAGGTCCCAAAATGAGAGGAGAAAAAGAGTGGTGCAGAAAATAAATTTGAAGAAATAATGGTTAACAACTTCTTCTAAAGAAGTCTCACTTCCAGGATGGCAGTACGAGGAGCTCTGGGGGCCCATTCTCCAGTGAAACAAACATAACTGGTGAAAACTATTGAAAAAAAAAAAAACCCAACCTTCCAATTTCAGCTTTGACATGTAAAGAGCTTGGAAGTTGTCACTCCTATCCTCACAGCAAGAAGAGAGCTCAACTAACTGAAAATCAACAACTCTCTTAGATCCATCTCATAGGGCAAGCTGCCATTCTGAAATCTGGAGAGATAGGTGAACACTTAGAACTACAGCCAAGATCAGCTTACCTGAAGCTGAGGCTGCTGAAACCAGTAACCAATAGGAACACTTAAAAGGTAATTACGACAAATTGCTGAAAACTAAATGTGGACTAGCTTGAGAATTAAAAACTCCTGGGGACCCAGTCTTAAGGTCTGTCTACCATTTTCACAAAAGTCCTTGGGCAAAAGGCTATTCATACTGACTGGGTGAGCTCCAACTCAGGTCAAGTAAAGATGTAAAGACAGCCTTGAGAATGGGGTGTTCCTGGGAATTAATAGGCAGGTCAAATAATGACAATTCTCTGGGAGTAAGGGTTTGAAGACGCTGTAATCCCCTTCTGCCTCCCTCTAGTGGCTGCTAGGCTACTGATTTTCACCAAGATTGTGGGCTTTTGGTTTTCAAGTCTACTATGGAGCTGGAGAGTGGGAGATGGGACTAGCATAAGCGAAAATGCCGCAAAGCTCACTGTTCTTCCCAATATTCAGCAATTTTTATCCAATAAACACTCCCTAGATTGCTGCAAACCTTTGGTTAATTTCAAGAGAGCTGAAAAAGTTGGTTTTGACGATTTTTTTTTTTTTTTGCTGATTTTCTCATTGCTTTTACGTAAAAGAGAATTTTCGGAGGTCTTTCATCCGCCATTGTCACTAACATCCTTCTAGAGAGTTTTTAAAATGTGAAAATATTGTCACTATTTAAGAGTCATAAATGTGTTCTGATTAACCTGGCCACCTGCCAGACTATTTTGTCTCCAGGGGAGTCTTAGACTAGTTAGTTAGGAATTGAAATTGTTAGGGAGCGGAAAGACCCATCTGCGGACTACAGGAAGATGTCCAGGAGAACAGTGGGAAAATAGTACCCAGAGATGGGCAGTGGGTGTGTGTCCAGGCAGGAATGCAGTTTGGTGCCCAGGTCAGAGGGCAGCAGGACCAGTGCTGACGGTCCCAGGTATATGTGCCTGTCCTTATCCACTTTGCTTCTTGGGGCCTCGGCCATGGGGACCTCTCAGTCCTGACCTAATGCCTGTCCAGAAAGGACATGAAGGCAACTAAAGCCTGGATGTCCCCAAGCCCAATCAGTCCCAATTTCTGGTTTCCAGTCTGGAAGCTCCTTCTGTACTTCAGGTCACTGCTGAGGTGAAACTCACAATGATTGTTCAGCTGCTTATGGGATTTACCTACTCATCCTCAGCTCAAAGATCTTCTACTTGTGTGAGCGTGGCTGATGCTTCCTCCCTTACATCCTTGCCAGAAGACACATGCTGGTTTCCTACGATAAGCCTTCTCACAGTCTGAACTATGGGACCGTCTTCCTATGATGCCATGTTGGTTGGTGGCAACAGTAGGTGGAGAGAGTGATGGATCTGGACATGACGACAGATATTTGGCAGGGGTTGAGAAACACCAACGTGAACCTGCTCATTCTCATAAGGTCATGGGGTCTCCCAAGGAGCAAGCGACAAGGTTTTCTGTGAAGTCTGGGATGTTTCAGTCCTTGATTCGCCTTTTTGTCACTCTGTGATCTTGTGCAAGTCATTCACATACCCCAAGCCCTCAGTCTCCTCATCTGTGGAGTGAAAGGGTTGGGCTGGTCCTCTAAGGACCTCAAACAATAATAGGATATTTATTTTTTATTCGCGGGGACAACCTTCCCTAGCCTGGGCAGCCCTGTTCTTCTTCTTTCTTGCATCACTTTTTCATAAATCTTATCTGCATTCACAGTCTCAACTTCCTTACATCCCTTCCTCTTCTCAGTTCCTTAAAATCAGACTTCTGCCTCCAAAAATATGACTCTCATCCAGGGCATCGATAATCTTTTTCTTTACAACCCCAATGACCCCTCTATGCCTATCTTTCTCAAGCCTTTAGCAATGAACACTCTGGACCAGTTTGTCCTTCCTCCTACACTTCCTCGTTGTCATCTTATCAACCTCTTGCTGAGAACAGAAAGAGGTCAGTATGCCTGGATGCAAGTGAGCAAAAGCAGGGCAGTAGATGACTTGTATATCCATTAGCTTCCTGGATGTCTTCCACGGGGTCTCCCAGGCACTTCCATGCAGAGTGGTCACAGCTAAAGGCCTAATTTTCCAGCTGGAATCAATTCATCTTCCCATATTCCCAGTTACCTTCGGGCTTCCCAACCCGAGACATGGATAGGAGCCTCACCTGCTCCCTCACACTTCTAGGTTCACCTCCCGAATGTCTCTCAAATCTGCCATTTTTTTTTTGGTGAGGAAGATCAGCCCTGAACTAACATCCATGCCAATCCTCCTCTTTTTGCTGAGGAAGACCAGCTCTGAGCTAAATCTATTGACAATCCTTCTCCTTTTTTTCCCCAAAGCCCCAGTAGATAGTTGTATGTCATAGTCGCACATCCTTCTAGTTGCTGTACATGGGACGCGGCCTCAGCATGGCCGGAGAAGCGGTGCGTCGGTGTGCGCCCGGGATCCGAACCCGGGCTGCCTGTAGCAGAGCGCGCGCACTTAACCTCTAAGCCACGGGGCCGGCCCCAAATCTGCCATTTTCACTTCTTATATAGTAACTGGTGTGTCATCATCTCTGCGTGGAGTGTTACATCTATGCCCAACCCCCTGTCCATCCTTCCTAAGGACACCAAAGCCGTCAGTCTGAAATCCACACTCATCTGGACATCTCCCTGTCCTGCTTAAGACCAATAAGATCTCCAATGTAAGGTCCAAACTCTGTTCTATGGCTCCAACCACCCAGGCCAGGGCTCTTTCCAACCTATGAGCCCTCAAATGATGGTTAAGAACGACAAGGCTCCCCGTGCAGGGGAACAGCAATTTTATTTGGTGAGGAACACTGAATATAACACGTCTAGTGGGAAAGGAGAGGAAGCAGTTTCCTCGGAGAGAAGGCTGCTCTGGTCCTCAAACAGCCGCCATGTCATTGTCCAGAACATGGGACGGCCTTTTGTGAGCCCTCAGAAGCTGGGCAGGGAGTGGATTGAACCCAGGAAATGGGTCTGTTGGGAGAAGACCCCAGTCAGAATGGAGACTCGAGGTCACTGACTCTTGCTGGTATTGGCCCATCGTCAAACCCAATAGGGAGGGAAGGAGGCTGAGACCCTGGGGATAGGGGTCTTGTCTCAGCCGCAAGGGTAGGGGTCAGGGGGTTCCTTGTGCATGTATTTGAGTTAGTGTGTGTTTGTGTATCCACGGGTACTTGTGTGTGGCAAGTGTGCAAACGTATGCACATGTGTGTGAGTGTGCTGGTGTGAATGTGCCACTGAGTGGCCACGTGTTTGTCTGGGCACGTGTGTGTGTGTGTGTGTGTGTGTGTCTGTGTGTATCCATGACCATGTGTGTTTCTCCTTGTAGCTGTGATGCAGTGCCGCCTGTGTCTCTCCATCTGTGTCAACATCTCTGTGGATGTCTCTGTGCATCTCTGTATATGTCTATGTGGCTCTTTGTCTCTCTCTTTGGATGTCACTGTCCCAAACCCCTTGCTGTCTCCTATCAGGAGAAGAATAGCCAGCCCCCAAATCCTGGGGAATGGGGACCAGCACTCACCAGCTCAGCAGAGGCTGGTACCTCCCTGGAAGGCCTAGACCTAGTTGACAAATTGCAGCCTGTGGCCCAGCGTGTCTGGAAAATGAAAAAACAACCACCACCACACACCAGAGCGATGGTCTCAGTCTGAAGGAGTCCAGGGATCCCTCACATTCCCCTGAGGCCTGGGGCCAGGGAAGGGGAACTCCGGAGATCCGCCCAAGCCCAGGCAGAGCCTCCTCCACCAACCAGCCCAGTTGTTCTCAGCATCAGGGCTGATGGGGGACACAGGGTCCATACCTCAACATTATCTGGATAATTCAAGGCAAAAAAGAAACTCAAATTGGGGAGAGTTGAGGCTGGAGGGAGCTAACTGTCCTATGGTGTGCAGGGCCAGAGCTCCACAGGCGGAATCGCTGCTCCTGCAGAGGGGGAGCGAGGGCTTACCGGCAACGGCTCGCACCAGGGTGGTGTCCAAGCAGCCGAGAACCGCACTGACCAGAAGGCACACCTGACCCAGGGGCAGAGAGGGGAGTTAGGCAAAGTGGCACTGTAGGGGGACCCTGAGAGCAGCAGCATCCCCGGGATGGATACTCTGGGGAGATTTTCTAACATTTTTCTGTGTCTGGGCAGAAGGAGAAACTGAAAGCTTGTGTGTGAAGTGCCCAATCACACAACGAGCCGTCGTTCACTCTGTAACATGACATCTGTTTCTAACTAGGGTGGACCGTTCTGGGAGGGATGAGTTTCTGGTTATAGAAGGCACCCAAGCATGCGCTGGAAGAGTACTTGTCTGTGCCATAGGAGGCTGGACTGGGAGCTTCTTGGGGCAGGGGCCAATCCACTTCAGCTGCAGTGTGGACGAGCACAGGGCCTGGTCCAGGGCGGGAACCAATCAATGTATTTTGAAGGATACGAAGAAGAGACATGGAGAGATGGATCAATGGACAGTTAGACTGATGGGTGGAATTTACTTATCAAACTGAGGGGCTCAGAAAAGCTCACCCCAGGGGCCTCTTTCAGCCTGATAAGCTCTAAGAGCCAAAGTTCAGGAGCCCCCACTTACCTTGCCTTGCACCACATTAGGAAGCATCTCACTGATCCTGTTGATAAGCCTTTGAAGGGGGAGGAGGGGAAATCTGAAATGGAAAAGCCCTGGGGTGATGCAGAGGCCTGGGGATGGTATGGAGAAGGCTTCAGAGGAGCCACTGTGCCCACCGCAGTCTCAGCACCAAGTACCTGAGAATGGGCCTTGTCCATCCACACCCACACGCCCGCAAACACCAAGGGGCCTCTCCAAAGGGAGTGACACCCTATACAGCCGTGCACACGATAGGTATGTGTAGAATAAACACATACTTCCAGTACACAGTAGGTGTTCAATGAGACTTTGTAGAATCCATAAATGGATGAACAGTGTGTAGTATGTAGCAGTCACGAGGATTCAACGAGACAATACATGTGAGGCACAATCTATATGTTCAGTAAATGTCAGCCATGATGAGGACGACTCCTGTGTATTATGCAGGACTAAGTCTCTCTTGTGACAATAACTGAAATCAGTAACCCAGTTAAGCTGCAGAGCTATTTTACCCCTTACTGGGACAAAGCACATCCACACCTATTATCCTAGTGGATTCTATCAACAGCGGCAATGTAGCTCCACATTACAGTTATCTGGGAAGCACTGTCCAAGTTCACACAGGAAGCCCTCCACCTCTCTCCATGCCCCTCTGGGAGATGGAACTTGAACTCAGATTTCTTGTTGCCTAATCCAGCATAAAATTGGTCAGTCCAGCCTAAGAAGGGATAAGTGACTATTTACCCATCCATTTACCTCTTCATCTATCCCTCCATCCTCCGATCCATCCCTCTTCCCACCCTTCCACCCTCCTACTCATCCATTCTCCCACTGTTCCATCTTCCCAGCCTCCATCCATCATCCCATCCTATTGTCTCTGGGCAGGAGAAGCCACCTCTCTGTCCTCACCTGTTAAGCACGGAGAGTTGCAGCCTGCCAGTGGCGTGAACACAGCCGCCAAGGGTCAGGCGGATGTCCTCCTGTTTCTGTTTCATAGCTAAGAGTTCTGCGGTGATGTTTAGCTTCACAGCCAGCTTTAACAGACTTCTGAACGGGGGTCTGCAGAGGAGACAGTCTGCTGTATCTGGCCCCACCACATTCCAAGGCAGAGGAGGCTTTTGTCCTTGCCAGGAATGCCAGCCTCACCTCACTCCATCTAGCCCACAGCTGTACTCATCTCATTTCCCAGTAGGGGAAACCAAGGCTCAAAGAGGTCAAGTGAGTTTCCCAAGTGACCCAAGGTCACTCAGCATAGTAGCAAATGAGCTGAAGTTGGAAGCTCATGTCTGTTAGACTCCAATGCCCCCTTTTTGGCTACCCATGGTCATCAGAGTCTCCTTTGGTGAGTCATCTTCCCATCCTCCCTTGGGGCCCACTCACATATTCACATTGATGACCATGCTCAGAGGGATGGTGACATAGAGATGACGGCCATCAGGGCTCTGCTTAAGGCAGAGTTCCAGCAGCTGGGGATTAGTGATCTTCACACCGCCCAGGGAGCAACATTGGAGGGAGAAACATTAGCTCTGCTAGACCCAAACCTAGAAGCCACATTTAACCCAACTTTACTCAATCCAGAGGTGGAGCTACCCATGATGGGGAGTCTTGCAGCAAAAGCCAGATGGGTTCTGAGTTGTACATACATCAGTCTTTCCCAGCCTCTGCACTGGATCAGATCCTGACACACACATGGCCCTCTCCTCGTCTCAAGTCCATGAGGTATTGCAGGATAGAGACTCTGTCTGGATTATATTTGCATCCTGTGTGCCAACCTAGAGACTTACAAAGAAAGGGGCTACTCCATATTGGTTGACCATGTGGATTGATGAGTGGGTGGGTAGATGGATGTGTGGGTGGGGGCATGGAAAAGTAATGGTTAGATGGAAGGAACGATGGATGAATGGATGGATGGATGGGTAAGTGGATGAGTGGATGATGTATGAGCAACTGGAGTAAGTCTTTCATAAACATTTATGGCTAGGAATCACTCATCCTGCCATGACCTTCAACGGCGGGTCAATCAACAATGTTTATCATGGAGATTGAGGAGCAGGAAGTCAGATAGAATGGAGAGAGGATGGAAGTGAGCCTCTGCTCTGGGCCAGCCACTGTGCCAGGTAATTTACATACTCTCCAGTCCTCCCAGCAGTTTTTCTCTATGGGTACCATAATCTTCATTTTACAGATGGAGAAGCAGAGAGACTGAGTGCCTTGTCCCAGGTCACCCAGCAAGGACATGGTGAATTTAGAAATCAAACTCAAGGCTGTCTGTCTGTCTTCAAGTCAGGAGCAAGCACCTGGGTGGGTAGGAATCTTGGAAATGGCTTTGATCCAGCCCTATGAAGGACTCAGGCTTTTCCAGCTCACTAGCATCAAGCTTTCCATTGTTGCTCCTTACTTAGAGAGCTCTCAGGTGTCGCATGGGAAATACCATGTTAGATTGTCTGTGGACATCACATTGATGACGTAATTGAGGAGAGGAGCTTACACTTTCTTGCTTACCTCGAAGGCCACCTGTGTTCTAAGGGACTCCACGGGTGAGGAGAACAAAATTATCACGTGAAGTGAAAGAAGCCTTGGCTTTGGACGTAAGTAGATCGGCGTTGGGTCTCTTACTCTGCATCACGCTAGTTGTGTGAGCACAGGCTCCTTTCTGTGCCTCTGTTTTTCCATCTGTAAACTGGGGATTATCAAATCGACACCAAAGGGTTGTTGGGAGGATTATAGATGACGCTGGGGACTTGGGACATGCTTCAGGACTGGGGACAATTACTGGTTCAAGGGGGCTGTTATTCCCTACCAGACTGTGAGAAGGGTCTCAGACTGAGGCCTGGCTTGTGTTCAGTCCACCCCTCTCCCTCCTTCAGGGCCACTGCCTGGGGCTGTCAGATCTCCAATGGGGGTTCTCTGGTGGGGACCAAGGCCCTACTTCAGGGCTACTCACTTAATGATTTTGCTCAGGAAAGGGATCACTGAAGTCATTTTTCCAAGCATGGCCCCAAACAGGTTTTTGGGAATGACTCCTCCAGTTTTCAGGGTGCCCGAGAGCTCAAGGTTTTTGAGAGTGTCCGACAGACCCTCAGAGAGCAAGCCATTGCTGAGAGCTGGAAATGGGTATAGGAGTCCTCAGGGGTCAAATCCGACATTTTCAGATCCTTAGCCCCTCTCCCCCATTCCTCCTTGCCCCCTCTCCCCTCCCACTGGACAGTTGGACACACACACACAGCTGAAACAGATTGTCACAGACTCACTGACCACTGGTCAAGCTTCCAGCAAGATCTCTGGGACTTGGGGCCAGGGTCAGAGTCACAGACCAGGGCAGGGTCTGGTCTGAGGGTGAGGGCAAGGCTTCCTGCAGGGCTGTGGTCTGGGCCAGCAGCCCACAGAAGACAATGAGGCCCCCAGTTGGAAACATCTTCTCTCTTGGTATCTGAGGACAAAATGACTGGTCCAATGCGACACGGATACCAGAGAGGGATTCACCCACCTGCCCCCACCCCCGGAGCACCAGGGAGTGAAGAGTTGCTCCCCATTTCCTCCGAGCCAGGCGTCAGTAACCGATGTGGTGCTAACCACTCCCTAAGACGTGGGCACTTTCCCTCGCATTGCACAGGTGAGGAAACGGGGGCCTAGTAAGTTTAGGAAACTTCCCCCAAGGTCGCAAGCACAGGCTGGAGATGGGATTTAAAGTCAAATCTGTTTGACCCAGAAGCCTCTGTTTAAGTTAAATGACCATCAGATTTACTCTCCAATTGGGCTTGCTCACAATGGCTTGAATCAGACAAAGCAAATGAAAAGGCTAAACATGCTGGTGGCTGAGGAACTGAACTGCTTTGCCACTACCCCCAAGAAGTCCTTCGGTCTGAGTCCAACCCTCAATGGTTTGTGGAAGTTCTTGCAAGTCACAGAATATCAGAGGTCGCACCATTGTAGCCACCATCTCATCCAGACCAGTGCTGGGGAAATCCTAGGGTCATCCCAAGTCGTCATTGCACAGGGAGAACCAGGGGACCAGAGAGGGGTAGTGACTTTCCCAAGGTCACACAGCAATTGATGGCAGAGTTGTGGTTGGAGGTAGGTCTCTGCGCCACCCCCACTCCCTTCCACACACACACACTATCTTTTCTGCACCTTTCTCTTCTCCTTCAAGCAGACCTGGACAAACTTCTGGGGCAAGCCTGGACATCTGGCTGCCCTTTGCACCATCCTCTCCCAGATACCACCAACCCTCTCACAGGCATATTTGGCACCCAGCAAAGCCGGCCAAAGCTGGGACTGGTACCTACACTTTGGAGACACCTGGCTGCTTTGGGCAAAATTCCATCAATGGGCTGATTTGGCCAAAGCATCATCATTGTTGTGGCTGGCTGGGATCAACAGGGCTTTTTGGACCAAAAAGCCACTTGTGGCTTCCCTGGGGAGGTAAACTGGGATTGGCCCTCTGATTCTTTCAGGAAACAGATGTTTTATGAATTCAATGAAAGCTAAGGAACCTAGTCCCAGAAAAATGCATCAAAATGTACAAAACTGTGTGGATTTTACGAGATTTGTGGATGATGGTCTGAATCCACAATGGCAACCTCAAGTTAAAACTCTCACTGTAGGGATTTTGGTTTAGGGTATGAAGAGCACACACACGAGAGAATCCTAACACAGAATTTCAGCAGTGTCCCCTGCAGCCACGCACTCCCCATCACCTCCAAATTCCCTGCTGCTGAACGTTTCTACATTGAAGTTACCAGTCTCTTACGGAAGCAGAGCGAATGGCCATCCCACGCCCCCAAAACTGGCCGGCTCTGCTTCTCTTGAAAGCCCCCCAGCGGGTGATCCTAACTGCAGTCAGCCAGGGCCCACCCCACAGCGAGGAGCCTGGCACCCCTGCAGCCCTGGGCAGCAGAGCAGAAGCGGAACAGAAGGGTCTCACCTGGGCTTCTCACAGGTCCCGGTAGCTGTCCTGGTCTCCTCTTCCCTCTCCTGTGTGCCTCCGCTGAGGAGGCAGCCTCTTTTATAGCATGGGAATCAGGAAACGTGCGATTGGGTGATGGGTTCCTAGATAATTCAGAATTCTGCAATCTGGTAGCATCTTTCAGGGCTCTCCAAAGTAAATAATTGCTAGTCACGTTAGTAGGTGGGACAGGTAAGCCATTTGATCGGTAAGTTAAACAGAGAAAAACTTGAGATGGGGGTGTTTCTCAAGACTTCATGGTTTCATGAGTGGGCCTCAGGCTGGGGACCCATGCTCTGAGGTGACCTGGAAGATCAAATTTGGGACACTGTGAAAGGCAGCCAGATGGAGCCAGGAAGGGACCTCAGGCTGGTATCTAGGCCCTTTTCCGTTCCTGGTCCAATTCTTTCTCTCCAAAGTGTCAGAAAGAGAAACTGTCTCTGATTTCCCTACATCTGGGACTTTCTGAGTCCCTGTTGCATGACAGTTCCATGCTGGGGGCATTACGGCCTCACCAAAACTCTGGGAGGGACGGGGTGCGGCTCCTCCTCAGAGGAGCAAACTGAGGCCCAGCAGGAACAAGTGCCCAAAGACGCAGAGAGGATGTGGCAGAGCTAGAACTCAGTTCATTGGATAAAAATAATAACAAAAACAGTGTCAACAGCTAACACTTGCCGAGCTCTCGCTGCATGCCAGACCCCGCATTGTTTTTTACATACAGCATCTCACGAATCCTCATAACCGTGGATGAGGTGGGAGTAAGTACCCCCATTTACAAGGGGGAAACTGAGGCTCAGAGTATGAGTGGATACGTCCAGAGTTGCACATGGACGTGGGGCCAAGGCATTTACACTCCGGACCTTTCTCTGAGTCACTGTGCTGAGAGATGAAGACGCCTTCTGGACACTCACTGACCATTTTGCTCACTGACTGTGAATTTCATGCTCTCTTGAAATTTCACTTTTCTATCCTGGAAAAGTCTTTCCAGGTTCCCAGGCCTGAGAGATGCTCTGCATCCTGGTCTCTACCTTTACCCTTCTTTTTCCCTTCCCCAAATGAAGGAATCAGGCATTTGTCCTCACCACTTGGGCCTCTGGAGTCTATTTTACAGATGAAAATACTGAGGCATGGAGAGATCAAGGTCTTAGACCAGCGAGAGCAGGTCTTGCCCTGCAAAAGCTAACACCTTATAAGCAAAAAAGTGGAGAGAGAAGGAGGAAACATGCATTTATCGAGCACCTACTGTGTGCCAGGTGCTCTCCATATTTGAACCTCGTCTTTCTCAGGAGTGGTTGGTATTGTTTTCCCTCAAGGTTCAGAGAGGGTGACTACCTCCCAGAGACACACAGCAAGTGAGTGATGGAGTCAGAATTCGCTCCCGTGTCTGACGCCCCTGTAACCAGTGAGCCACACTGCCTCTCCTCCATCAGGCCTTCACTGGAACTGCTCCCACATCCTATGAGAGTCCGGTCAACGCCTCCAAGGGGCCTGGGCAGTGGCTTTGAACTCAACTATCCCTTCGAGCACTCACTAGAGTCTTCCCACAGTTCGTCATCCTCAAAGGCGTCCCATTTTCTGTTATCTTGGTACAACTCTTATGGGTTGGGTCAGGTTGCTACTATCTGTTGGGTGAAACTGAGGCAGATAGGTCAAGGGATTGATTCCAGTTTGAGTGGCCAGTTACCGGACAGCTAACAGCCTCTGGTCTGAAGCCAGGAGGCTGCTTATGTTATTATAGCAGAAAGGGGCTGGATTTGGGCACAGATGGCCCTTGTTCAAATCCTGTGACCCTGGGTAAGTCACTCCAATACCTGAACTTCAGTTTCCACATCTGTGAAATGGGAAGACAGTATCTACGTCATAGGGCTGTGGGGGGTAACGTCGGGGGAGAGGGTAGGAATCTCAGGTCATAAACTCATGTGTCTATATGTTTTTCTTTCTAATGCAGCTCTTTGTTACCATATCAAATGCCATTTTGCTGGGTAACAGAAACTTCCCCATTTTCCGCTGGGGTTTTCTTTCTGTTCTAGAGGCTTCATTTGTGCCAAGCCATCTGAAGGAGGCTGCCCTGTCCCTGTGTTGACTGGAAATCCAGAGAAATCCACATGCCGTCTGGCCCCCTGACTGCCGAGACTCTGTGCTCCCCTCCCGTGTGAAAGGCCCCTTTGATTTAGCATTCACTTCTCACTCCCTTGTTAGACACCCCAAATTGTCCTGCTGTTTCTTGATTCCTTGGGCGGGACCATCGGGGCCACCCCAGCCCACTTGCCTGGACCCACCTAGACCCTCCAGTTCACCTTCTCTCCCCAGGGTCTTGTCACCTCTCTTGGCTCTGGAAGGGAACGAGGGCAGAGACGCCCTCTGTCCTTGAATCCATCGATGTGCAGTTTCCGCCATCCCTCCTCCCAGGCCAAGTTTTGCCTGGGGAGTAGCGAGGGCATGAGCACTTTCCACAACCTGCCAGAACTGTGTTCTCTTCATTTCTTTTGGATTTTCACACTCCACCAACCCAACATGGGGAATTTTCTAGTCTTGGGGGCAGGAAACCTTGCTTCGATTCATTATACATGTACTATTCTTGATGTCTCCCATGCTCTGAGTTTTGAAATTGGAAAACCCAGACTTAAAAAAAATTTTTTTTAGTTAACCTACAGTAAAATTAGCTTTTTTCTTTTGGTGTATATTTCTATGAATTTTAACGCATGGGTAGTTTTCTGTAACCACCATAGTAATCAGGACATAGAACAGTTCCATCACCCCCAACACCACTCACCCTGCCCTTTTCTAGTCACACCCTCCCCTTACCCACTGATCTGTTCTCGGTCACTACCGTTGTCCAAGACCCAGGCTTTGGGAACTCAAAAGCCTTGTCTCTGCTTCTGCTGAAGCTGCTCTTTCTTGAAGCCAGAAGGCTGCATGTTCCGCTGCCCCGAGCAGGGCAGGAGCCATGGGGCATGAGGAAATGTGGAAGGACACGCCGCTGACATTTCGAGAGAGTGTTTTCCACATTGGTGACATCAGTGCCTTCCCAGCGTGTTCCTTGGAAACTGCAGGCGGTGCCCTTTTCTTCCTACATATCAGATTGCGGTTGTGGTTGAGAGCCTTACTGCTATCGTTTTTGTGAATCAAGAGATCCATTTTTAAAGGGCAGAGTTAATTTTATTTTTCAAGAGGCTCTGACCTACGCAAGGTCTGTTCTCCAGAACTCAGGAGTGCGAGGCTGGTTCTGTTTCCTAGGAGCGAGGTTAGGTGGGGGGCTCAGGGGGGTCTTCAGATGGCTTTAGAAACCCCAGTGGTTTTGCTGAGGGGCAGAGAGCCAAAAGAGTTCACAGAGAGCTAAGTGCTCCAATTTTGATGAGAAAATATATTTTCTAAGCAGAGTTTACTTAAGTCAAGTTCCACTTGTCTTGGAGATTAGTCTTCCCACCTACATTTACAGCTAATAATAATAGCTCTCTACGAGACACTAGTGCTCTCCCCCATCTCTAAGAACCCTGTGGGGACACTGAGGCTCAGGGAGGACAGTGACCTGCCCAAGGTCACCTCAGAGGGAAGAGGTGATGTCAGACTGTCACGGGGGCTGTCCAGCTTCTGTCTTGTCAATTTCAGGAGCAAGTCTGCATCCCAGGGTCTTCAGTTCAGAAGGTACCTGCTCGTGTTCTCTGGAGCCTCCCCACCCCTGACAAATCAGGCAGCGGGGGTTCCAAGCCTGGCCCAGCTGACGACTGTGGGCAAGATGCTTCCCCTCTTCCAGCCTCGGTTTCCTCATCTATCATGTGGAGCTGACGGCACCCACGTCCCGGGGCTGGGAGAGGGTTAAATGCGGCAACACGCAGCCCGCAGCCCAATCCCTGGCACAGAGTTGGAGCTCTGTAATGGAAGGCCATGGAAGTTACATGCACAGACAGCGAGGGTTGGAGCGAGCTTCCGAGCACTCAGGGCTGAATTTCTGCTTAAATTACCCCCCACCCCAGACCCCAGTATCATAATAGAGGTCCGTCGTGCAACAAGCTCTTTCAGGAGAAAACAGGATGAGACCACGGCTCCGTGAACCTTAAATGGAAACAAAACAGAATGGGAGAAACCCAAGGAGGCCCCCGATCTGCCCCCAGAGGGGTCAGGACGAAGGCAGACAAAAGTGGCCTTCACAGAGAGCAGGCCACCTCGCTGGAGGATGGGCCCCACCCTCCCATGTTTGCTCTTTGAATCGCGAGCAAGAAAAACCCCACAAACTCAGGCTGTCCAGGAGAGTCATCTGTGCGACCATGGGCATTTAGGATTACAAACCCCCAGTGAAGCATTTCAGATTAGGGAGTCTGATTTGAAAGATGGAGACATGGAGCTCTCTTGCCCTGTTCTCATCTCCGAGCTGTTGACACATCCTTGTCTGAGCTTGTCAATCCAGCCGAACGTGTATTTCACCATTTTCCCCTCAGTGGGTGGGTGGGTGTTAGAAGGAAGGGAGGGAAGGCTGGAGGGGAATTTACGGTAGTCAGGAGTGTGGGTTCCAGAGTCTGGCTGCCTGAGCGCAGTCAACTTGGTCTTTCCTCGCTGTGTGACCTTGGGCAAATGACTTTCTGTCTCTGAGCCCCAGTGTCCTCATGCATAAAATAGGACAGCAGTTTTGCACTTCACATGGTTGCTGTGAGGATTTGCTGAGATGCTGAATGGAAGCTCCAAGCACCAAGCTTGGCACACGCCAAGTCTTAGTATGTGTGTGCTACTATTATTAATATGTCTGTGTTATCTCCCCTTGATTTGTCAGTATGCTTTCTCGCCCCTTGGGTGGAGGAGGGCAGGAATCAATATTTAAGAATTGAAGAGTCATTAGTCAAATAATTAACAATGAATTAAGTGACTTTCAATAAGCATTTTCCATGGACCTAGCACATGACAAACATATTGCAAATTTTTTCCACATACTCTTACAAACGTCCTGCATGGTAAATATTTTTTATTTTAAAAATTTTTGTTAGTGGGGCCAGCCCAGTGGCACAAGCGGTTAAGTGCTCGCACTCTGCTTCAGCAGCCTGGGGTTCGCAGGTTTGGATCCCAGGCGCGCACCGACACACTGCTTGTCAAGCCATGCTGTGGCGGCGTCCCATATAAAGTAAAGGAAGATGGGCATGGATGTTAGCCCAGGGCCAGTCTTCCTCAGCAAAAAGTGGAGGATTGACAACGGATGTTAGCTCAGGGCAGATCTTCCTCATAAAAAAATAAAAATAAAAAAATTTTTGTTAGGGGCTGGCCCCATGGCATAGTGGTTAAGTCCAGCATGCTCTGCTTTGGCAGCCTGGGTTCACGGGTTAGGATTCCAGGCACGGACCTACACCACTTGTCAAGCCATGCTGTGGTGGCGACTCACAAAATAGAGGAAGAATGGCACAGATGTTAACTCAGAGCTAATCTTCCTCAAGCAAAAGAAGAAGAAGATTGGCAACAGATGTTACCTCAGCGTGAATCTTCCTCATCAAAAAAAAAAAAATTTTTGCTAAAGTGTAACATCCATAAGAAAAACACACATAACTAAATAGCTCAATGAATTTTCATAAGCTGAACATCCTCCCCATAACCAGCACTCAGATCAAGAAACAGAACGTGACCTGTTCTCCAGAAGCCCCTTGCACCCCTCCCAGGCACTATCCCTCTCCCCAGGGTAACCACTGTCTTGCCCTCTGACAGTGTGGATTCGTTCTGCTGTTTTTGAGCTTGATATAAACGGGAGATGCAATGTGCTCCTTTGTGTCGGGCTGCATGATGCGCATGAGTTCCATCGTGTGGTTGTGTGTAGTCGGAGGTCATTTTCATTACGATAGAGCATTCCACTGGGTGACTATCCCACAAGATATTTACCCTCTCTATTTAGCCACTCTTTTAATGGGCATTTAGGGAGTTGTTACTTTGGGCCTATTATGACCACTGCTGCTATGAGCAATCCTGTACACGTCTTATTGTGCCCGCGCACACGTATTCCTGTTGAGCACATGCCTGGGAGGGGAATTGCTGGGTCAGAGAGCAGCATACGCTGCACTTTTGTAGATGTTACCACCCGGTTTTATAAAGCGGTCGTACGACTCACCTCCCACCAGCAGTGTGAGGGCTCCTGCTTCTCCGCACCCTGTGAGATTTCTATTCCTACTTTGCAGATGAGGAAGAGCAAAAGGGAAACTGGCTTGTCGCAAACACAGCTAGTGAGTTATAAGACCAGGGTTCATCCACCGTTTAGCCTCAGATATTTGCGGAGTTCACACGCTATGCCAGCCCTGCACTGGGGTGGCGGGTCATCGGCCTCCCTGATGCACATGGTCCGTACCCTCATGGAACTGCTCTTTGGGCTGGATTGAATTTGAACTCAGATCCGTTCAGTGTCAACGTTTATGTTTCTCCACTCCATCACCCTTTCTCTACACTCCCTAGAGCCCAGCAAAGTGCTTGGCGCATAGGAGGTGCTCGATAAGTGTAGGCGGACTGAATGAGGGAATGGGCAATCTCAACAGGACCTTCCCTGCGTTGATGAGCAAACCCATAGATGGGCTTCTGACTACAAATTACAGGAAAAGAAAGAGTATGTTCTCACATATTTCTGGCCTGATGAGCAAACCCAGGTATGTTTAGTCTCAGGATGGACCTTCGTCAAGTTTGACTTCTGGAACCCAAATCTCAGGGCCCGGGCTGAGGGACCTCTGCGCCCTTCGGAGCTAGAATTTATTATGGAAGAGGACAGGATGTCCACAGGGCCTGTGGTAAAGGTTTTTGGGGCAGTGGAAGCCCCGCTCTGAGGGAGACCTAAGGTCCCCAGACGTGGAATCTCCTGATCATCCCTGGGTAGCTGGAGGACACTCGAGTCTGGTGTGTGGAAGGCTGGCTGGATTCACAGTTGGTTGGGTTCATGAGAAGCAGCCTGTTCTGCAAGGAGAAGAGGCGGTGTCAGTTACCAGTGTGTCTGCCCCTCCATATCCCAGGTCCACGCTGAAGGGGACTCATCCATCCATGCCCACCAAGGGCCAGTGCCAGGAGTGTTCGTGTTAGAACACTTTCCAAGTGAGATCTCGTTATGCGCTCTTATGTCTTCCATTCACTAGACTGTGAGCCCCGTGAGGGCAGGGACCATATCTGTTTATCTGCAACTCAAGGGGGGTAGTCTCAGTTTGGGGTGGGGCCGGTGATCCCTAAAGGATTGAGTGGAAACCTTGGGAGAAGCCACAATCTCTGGTAACCGGTAGGTTTGGGTGACTCGGTGGGGCACAGCCTGGTTGATAGCAACCCCTCTGCTGTCCCAGCTTTCTCAAGGGACAGTAATGACCATCATCATATGGTCACCTCTAAGTGTCCTCAGAGCACCTGCAGACAGCCCTCAGCAGGCCTTACTGGGAGCTCTTCTAGCCATTTGCCAACTCTGAGTCCTCCTCCCCGGACAGACGCAGACACTCACCCATGAGGCTTTTCAGCAGTTTCACATCCAGCTGCCTGAGGACTTCACCAATCAGAGGACACACCTGGGCCACCAGCACAGAGAGAAGGATCAGACCAGGGACTAGGAAAAGAAAACTAGAGAAAACTAGAAAACTAGGCCTGTGGCTGGAAGCTTAGCCTCCACTGGATTGCCACAAGAAATCATGGCAAGAACCCTTGTATTGAATGCCAACCGCATGCCATGCACAGAACTTTCATGCTTTGTCTCCGAATCCACGTGACAGCTCTGTGAGATAGGGACCATAATGGTTCCCATGCTACAGATAGGGAAACTGAGGCTCGGCGAGGCTAAGTCACTTGCCCAAGGACACCCAGCCAGTAGATGGCAAAACTGAAATTTTTAATTGAGATCTTTCAGGTTCTGAAACCCAGGGTTTGAAACTCTTTGCTGAGCTGCCAATCTGTATGCCCCAATCCTCAGATTCAAGGATGCCCAAGGTGAAAATATTTTTCTCAGGCTTACCTGACTTTCTACCAGGTGTGGGATAACCTTTTCCAAGTTCTCTCTGAGGTTGCGGAGAAAATGTTTCATCTTTGGTGGGCTATCTCTAGGAAGAGAGGCAGATGTACAGAATGGACAGATAAATTCAGACAGTACCAACACCAGGTGCTAAGTGTTGAGTACACCTCACACAGTCATTGAATCCTCAGCCAGCCCTGTCACCATCAGCCATCATCAAAGGGACAACTCAGAGAGATGATGTGACTTGTCTCAGGTCACACAGGTAGTACGTGCTGATTAGACTAGAACCAGGTCAGCAGAGCTCCAGGGTCCACAGTCTTCCCCCTGCACTGTCCTCTCCATGAACGTCTGGCATGATCCAGGCATTCAGTGAATGTCTGATAAATAAATGAATGGACATCCTCTAAAGACTAGTTGCTCTCAGCCTTCTGGAATTACAGAGAGAAATCTGACACAAATCTTGCCCTCGAGGGACGCAGCCTATTGAGGTTGGCTCAAGGACGCAGCCTATTGAGGTTGGCAGACTTGGTCAGCCGGGGTATAGGTCTTGTTCACTACTGTATCCCTAGCATCAAGCACACCATGCCTGGCACATAGTAGGTTCTCAGTAAATATCTGTTGAATGAATGAGTGATGAGGAGGAGCTTTAGAGAAGAAGGGAGGGGTATTCCAGGCAAAGGATCAGCATGCGCAAAGGCCGGATGAGGTGAAAATGCATGGCGTGTTGATGGAGGGGTGGGTCCTTCCAAGAGACTAGTGGGCAAAGGGCTGCAGATAAGGGCAGGGGAGAGGACAGCAGGGCCTTGAGTGACATTCAGCTGTTTGCTGTTCATCCAGAGGGCTCTGGAGAACCACTGGAGGGTTTGGAGCAGCGGCGGGGACAAGACCAGATTTCTGTGCTAGAAAGTTACTTCTGCTGCAGGGAGAGAACAGACTGAAGGAGGTGAGGTCCGAGTCAGGGGAAGCCGGAGGAGGCTCCCGCAATGGTCCAGGATGTGCCGGGTGCAGCCGCTGTGGGGACAGAGAGAGAGGGAGCAAGTGGGGGCTGCCAGGAGGTCATTGATGGGAGCCGGTGAAGAGGGGCTGCAGGGAATGAGGCTGAAGAGTCCGGCTTCTGGGAGGGCGGCAGGCCCGTTACTGGGATGGGGACTCGGGGGGGAGGAGCAGATCCCCGGCAAAGGGTGAGATCCGTTTTGGGCTCATCCGGGAGGTGGTGGAGACCATGGCCGCAGCTAGGGCCGGTCACCCTGGGGAAGGCCAGCTGGGACCTTACTCAGTCAGGATTGTGGTGTGGACGCTGCCGGGCTGCACGCAGCAATTGCCTATCACCAGATCCCTCCGGCCGAACTCGTCTTTCTCCAGCCAGAACTCCACAGCGAGGTGCACGCGCGCATGCGCCGTTATGATCTTGTTATTGAGGGGCCTGGGGACGAGAGAGACCAGGTGGAGGGGAAAGGGCTGGAGACCGAGGAGGAGAAGGAGGTGGAAACAGCCAAGGGGAAGAGTGGTTCTTTCGACAAACCAGCCCAGTGGGCCCCTGGTTGCCTGCATGTTAAACCCTGCAGTCAGTGATTAAGGAGAAAACTGCTACGAGCCAGAGCAGCTTCTGAAGTCCTTTACATAGACCAGATTAGGGGCCTTTGGAAATTCAGAAATTGAGAGTTAATCTTATTTTTAAAATCTTCACCGTTTAGCTGCAGCCTTTCCTTGGGTGCAGTGGATGTTAAAGGATAGTTTGAACAGGAGGAAGGAAGAGTGTTGAGATAATTAGAGTTTCTCTCTTTTTCTTAAATCAGTGTAGTGAAGTCACATAACTTTAAATGAACAAATGACCTGCCTCCACTGACCAGTGATCGCCATCCACATGTCAGCTGAAGAAACCAAGGCTCAGAGATGTGAAGTGACTTGCCCAAGATCACACAGCGAGTGAGTTCGGAAACCAGGATTGGAAACCAGGTTGGAGTCAGAAAGATCTGGGTTTCCAGGTTGCCAAATTCCCCTCCCCGCCCCCCCAGCTCCCAGGTCCCGGTTAGGAGGAACAGCACCCCTCAGACCCTACTTCTGTACAACTCACAGTCTCAGGTCAGCATCGAATTCAACGGAGATGTTTGCGGAGAACCACTCCTTACGGAAAGACATCCGGATCTCGCCATAGTCCAGCTGAACATTGGTGATGTTGGCGCTGCACAAGGAAAGAGCAGAGGCCCCGCGAGAGTGAGGGACCTCACACGTCAAGGCCTCGGGTTGACACACAAGGCCGACCCGTCTACAAAAGGGCCTGGCAGTGGGACTTGGAGTCAGATCCTTTCACAGATGCTCCAAGGGCAGGAGCCCCCTGCAGGAGCCCGGGCTGCACGCTGTCCCAGAGAGCCCTGACAGATCCACATGGCTGATTGTCTAACCCACAGCCCACCGCAGACCCAGACCCCGGGCCTGTTCTCAGACCAAGCCTCCCCTCTACTAGATGGCCCCATCACCCAGATGCCCAGTCCCAGACCCCAGGAGCCGTCTGTGACCTCGCCAGCCCTCACTTCCACATGCAACCCATTAGCGAATCACGTTGGCTCTGCTTGCAAAATAGATCCTGAATTTGGCCACTTCTCCCCACCTCTGGTCCAGGTCACCATCACTTCTTGCCCAGAGATGCTCTAGTTTCTGGGCTCCTTGCCACAAACTTGGCATTTCTACAAACTATTCTCCATGTGGCAGCCAGAGGGGCCCTAACACTCCCTGTCACTCAACATTCTCCACTTGTTTCTCACTGCTCTTGGAATAAAATCCAAACACCACACCATAGCCCTTAAGACCTGCAGGTCTGGCCCCACCTGCCTCCGCAGCCCCATTCCCCTACACCCTCCCCCTTCTCACCCAGCCACACAGGACTTTTTCTCTTCCTCAAACACACCAATATCCTTCCTACCTCAGGGCCTTTGCACTCACCACTCCCCATATCCTCCATGTCACTTGCTTCCTTCTCTTCATTCAAGTTTCTACTTAAGGGTTACCCCTTTAGAAAAGTCCTCCTGATCAGCCCTCTCACCCTCTCTCACCCCTTACCTTGCTAAATTTGTCTTCAATATATCCCTCCATCTGAAATTAGTTATTTACTTTCATGACCTCTCTCACTAACTAGGATATAAGATCCAAAAAAGCCGTGACCCTGTGCTTATTTACAGCTGTATTCCCAGTACCCAACCCAGATCCTAGTATGCAGTAGGCACTCAATGAATGATTGTAACAATTGTTCAAGGAATGAATGAAGGGCAGTGGTTGTGGCCACATACATCGAGGAAACCCCTGCTGGTGAGCACTGGCGCTCATGACAGTAGAGAGAGTGAGGGATGTGAATCAGAGAGGCGGGAGCTCAAGGGCGCAGCAGGCTGGAGTGACGGGGTTGCAGTTGAGCAGCTGCGAGAGTGGGAAGCTGAGGGAAAAGGGAAGTGAGCAGGACAGCCCCAGCTCTGCGAGGTTAATGTAGCGACCAGTGGCGGTGCATCCACTGTGTGCAGCAGAGAAAGCTCCCAACGACTCCTGGGGGCAGGGACGGCTAGTACGCCCATTTCACTGATGAAGACTCGAGGCTGAAGCTCAGGGAGCTTGGATGGCTTGCCCAGAGTCACACAGCTGTCAAGCAAAAGAGTGGGGTTCAAATGTCTGATTCTACTTCTGGGTTCCTTGGCACCTCAAATGTTTATCCAGGCTGTGCTCTGGGGGCCCATATTATGGATGAGGCCAGAGTGGTCCAGCAATTTCCCCAAGGTTGACAGCAGAGCCAGGATTTAAATGCAGAAACTTTTACTCCCAAGCCTTCACTTTTAATCATCCTGATATGCCACCTCTCCAAATGACCCCTTGTATTGGGTCTCTGCTCCTCTTGTATTGGGCCTCACATCTCCTCCTTCTAATCTTCCTTTGCCTTCCCTATTCACAGGCTTTGCACCTCCATCCCCTCGGCTCTGCTCTCTGATGCAGAGCTTTATAGAGTCTCCTGGCCAGGGGTGGGGTTCAGGGTCTCACCTGCCTTCCTGATGCTGCTGGAGGCCCATGCTGCCAATCAGCCAGCCCACCATCCCTGGGGCCATCTGGCCCCAGGCATTCAGACTGTCTAGGAGGCGGATGTTCTGGATTCGGCCCTCTGCGTTGTGCTTCATGAGGCCCTGGGCAATAACTGGAAATGGACAAGGCACGGGTGACATGGCACAATGTCATGGACAAGGTGGGGGGTTTGGAGTCAGGAGGCCTAGAGGGCAGGCTGGTGCTCCCACTTCTTGCTGGGTGATTGGCACATGTCAGTCCACCACCCCCAACCCCAGGACCCACATTCTTCATTTGTGGAATTGTGCTTTGCAGAGTTGATGTGACACACCTGCAGAGGGGCTGGCAGGAGATGTTGTGGTTGAAAGTTCCCCCAGTGCCGTGTCCCTGAATCTAGGACACAGAGCCTAACATACAGGATGTAGAGCACGACCAATGTTGAAGAGAGAAATAGGTGGGCAAATCAGGAGAGAACAAACATAAATCCTCCCACTCCGTGCACGGAATAAACTGCAGGACTGAGTGGGGATACCAGCAGAAAAGAATGAATCCCAAAAGGAAGGTAATTTTAAAAGCTGTGGACACACTTCAGTCCTGCTTCTCTTGGCTCTGACTCCTTGCCCAGGCTGCAGGCCCAGCTCGGACAAACCTCGGAGCTCCCCACTGGGCACGTGTATCTCACTGACTTGACCCTCCTATGGTCAGGTCCCACACTGAGAGCTATGGTTTACTGCAGAGACTCACCCCCTTCCCCCAGGGCCGGCTCCCAGACCCCCTTTCAGCACCTATGTCAAGACAACAAGAAAGTGTGTCTGGAGCCACAGATCTGGGTTCAATTCCAAGTTTTGTCGCCAACCCAAGTCTTGATTTCCTCGTCTGCATAATAGGGGCAGTGATAATACCCATCTCATAGGATTCTTGTGAGGAATATTGAGACCATTCATGCAAAGAATATTTATTGAGCATCTACTGGGTGTTAGGCCCTGTGTTGGGCCTAAAGACACAGATCCATTTTCTGTCTAGTAGGAGAGACATGTATTAACCAAATAGTTTCAAGGATAGAGTGAACCTGTAGGTATGCCTAGAACTCTCAGTAGGTCTTGGTTAATGATGATAGTAGAACGTGGGAATTTGTGAGCAGCAGACACTAGTAGTTGCCAATGCAGTATCCTTCCATCCATCCACCCGCCTATCCATCTATCCAATATCAATCCGCCAATCCATCCATCCACCCACCCTCCCATCCAACCATCCATCCACCCACCCATCCTCACATCCATCCTCCGCCTATCCATCTATCCAATATCCATCCATCAATCCATCCATCCATCCACTCTCCCACTCATCCATCCATCCACCTGTCCATCCTCACATCCATCCTCCGCCTATCCATCTATCCAATATCCACCCATCAATCCATCCATCCATCCATCCACTCTCCCACCCATCCATCCACCCGTCCATCCATCCTCACATCCATCCTCCATTTACCCATCTATCCAATATCCATCCATCAATCCATCCATCCATCCACCCTCCCATCCATCCATCCACCCGTCCATCCATCCTCACATGCATCCTCCATCTATCCATCTGTCTAATATCCATTCATCCTCCCATCCATTCTCCCATCCACCCACTTTCCAATGCATCCTTCCTATCATTCAATCCATCCTATCATTCCCATCTTAACCCTGTTTTGACTCAGGCACTCTCTCCAATTCCTGGTCCAGATGGGGCTGTTGATTATCTGAGCCATTGTTGCACAGTGGTTCTTTCAGGTTTAAAGTTGGCATGTGACCCAAGTTGGCCCTATCAGCCTAAACAGAAGATCTTATGTTTCATGTTCAAGGGGAAGGTGTCTTTCTCTTTCTCCTGCTGGAAAAGAGCAAGACAGCCTGTAGCTCCAATGGCCACTGGCCACCATCTTCCTACCACAGTGGGGACCAGCAGCCTCAGGATGAAACCAAGATGACAGCAGAGCTTAAAAATGGACAAAATCCAGGGGCCGGCCTGGTGGCGCAAGCGGTTGGGTGTGCGCTCTGCTGCGGCGGCCCGGGGTTTGCTGGTTCGGATCCCGGGCGCACACCAACGCACTGCTCGTCGAGCCATGCTGTGGCGGCGTCACATATAAAGTGTAGGAAGATGGGTACGGATGCTAGCCCAGGGCCAGTCTTCCTCAGCAAAAAGAGGAGGATTCGCAACAAATGTTAGCTCAGGGCCGATCTTCCTCACAAAAAAAAAAAAAAAGGACAAAATCCAGTTCTGGATGGCAGCTTTGAGCTGCTGATTGAACCCAACCTGGAGCTTGTCCTACCTATGACTTTCAGTTACATGAAATAACTCTTTATAGTTGAAGCCAGGTTGAGTTGGCTTTTCTGTCACTTGCAGCTAAGCACCCTAACTGATATGTGAGAGGTGCTTGTAGCGATAAACATATCCACAGTTGGAAAAGCGCTTTGTACATACTTTCCTTCATTTAAGTCTCAAAATCAGCACCATGAAATAGCATTCCAACTGCACCCATTGTACAGATGAGGATATCAAGGCCCACAACTACACATGAATAGATTTGATAACCTAAATGAAATGGATACATTTATGACAAACCAAAAAATGCCAAGTTGTGATGAGGGAAAATGGGAAACATAGATAATCTAAAACCATTAAGAAATAGAAATAGCAAGATCTCCTTCTCAAAAAGCTTTTCATCTAGATGGTTTTATGGAAGAGTTTTACCAAACTTTTATGAAGAAATAATTGTGAAAGAAAATAGAAAAATAAGAGGATGCCACATTCATTTTATGAGGCTAGTACAACTTGCCCAGCCTCAAAGACAGTACAAGGAAAGAAAATTACACAGCAATTTTATGTATGAAAAATGTGCTAAAATCCTAAATAAATCATTAGCTAACAAATCTAATAGCTAATAGTATATTATAAAAATATCATATTATCCTATAAATATCATATTTTAGTATGATACATTATCAATACATTATAAAAATAGTACATTATAAATATATCATTATAGTACATTATAAAAATATCGTATTTATTCCAGAAATGCTAGGATGGGTTCAACATCAGAAAATCTGTTAATACGATTTATCACATGAATAGATTAGAGGAAAAAATTGATTAATTTTTAGATGTAGAAAAAATATTTGTTAAAGGCCAATACTGATTTATGATTAAGCAAAATTCAGAACACTAGGAATATAAGGGGACTTCCTTAACATGATAAAAGCTATATTCCAAAAGCCTACAGGAAATATCATACTTAGTGGAGAATTCTAGATACATTCCCATTCCTCTAGGAGCCTTAGCTATACTGGAAGATAAGAAAAGGGCACAAAAAGTATAAGGTTTAGAAGAGAAGAGAGAAAACTGTCACTATTTGCAGATGACATAACTCTTTAGGTGGAAAATCCAACAGATTAATAAGACAAACTATTAGAACTAATAAGAGGTCAGTGAGACTTCTGGATAGCAGATTAATTTTCAAAAATCAACAGCTTTCCTCTCGTCTATACCAACTAGAAAATATAACAGAAAATTAGGTAATATTTACTGTAGCAACAAAAACTATAAATTCTCTAGAAATCACTTTAACAAACCACACTCAAGACATTTATAGGGTTTTAAAATTCTGTTAAGTGATATAAGGTAAAAATCGGAATAAATTGAAAGATACACTAAGTTTGTGATTGTGTGACTTAACATTACAAAAATGTTAATTCTCTTTAAACTAACAAACAAATTCAATGTAACCCCAATCAAATTTCCCGATGATTTTTTTCTTTTTTAAGGAACTCAACACATTCCAAAATTCCTTCAGAAGAAGGAAGGTCTATCAGACAAAACAGCATTTTGCAAAGATGTAGTATTTAAAATACTATGTTATTTGTGTAGAAACAGTTACAGAGACAGATTACAGAGCTCAGAAGGGAATCCACGTGTTTGGAAACTTGATCAGGTAGTAGATGGGCTGAGAAAATGGACTCATTATGTGGAGAGAAGGGAAGCTGGACCTCTAACTCATATACGTAAACGTACATAAAGATGGCCTCCGGGTGGATTAAAATCCTCAATGTGAAAGGTAAACTATAAAGCTATTAGAAAGAACAAAGTAGAATGTGTCTGGGATAAGGACAAGGGCTTAGGACTCATCAAACACAAACCACAAGATGAAATTGTGATGAGTTTGAAAATATTCTTGTTCAATAAAGGACCTGCAAATGATGTTAATAGATGACATTTTGGGAGAAATGTTAACAACGCTTAGACCTGACAAGCAACTAATGTCAAAAATAAATTAACATTTCCTTAAATCAAGGAGGATAAAAGAAAAAAACAGGAAAGCAAATAGAAAAATGGACAAAAGATAAGAACAGAGAATTCAGAGAAATCAAAATGGTTAACAAAATTATGATAAGATGCTCAAACTTCCCGCTAATCAGATAAAGTCAAGTTAAAACTTGAAGAAGAGGAAGAGACAGCAGGATGCACTCTCTCTCACTGTGTACACACAAAGGAAAGGCCACATGAGGACACAGTGGGAAGGCGGCCATCTACAAGCCAGGAAGAGAGGCTTCATCAGAAACCAACCCTGTGGGCACCTCGATCTTGGACTTCCAGCTTCTAGAACTGTGAGAAAATAAGTGTCATCGTTTTAGCCACCTGGTCTGTGGTATCTTGTTATGGCAGCCTGAGTAGACTGATACAGATGGATACTCCCCAGTTTTGGGAAACGTGGAGAGACGGGTATGATTGTTTATTACTGGAGCCAGTGTAGACCGCCACAGCCATTCTAGAGAGCAATCTGGCAGTCTTTAGTTAAACTGAGTTAGCACCCGCCCTAGGGCCCAGCCACCCCCTTTCCCGGTATATCCCAGAGAAATTCTCCCTCAGATCCTAACAGAGACACGTGCAAGGATGCTCATCTCGGTGTGGTTTAGAATAGTGGGGAATCAGAGACACTCAAGAGTCCGTCCCGAGGGGAACGGCCAAGCAGCGGTGAGATGGGTGAATCTCATGGACCTCTCTGCACACGTCGAAAGCCACGGAGGTCAACAGCACGGTGTCCAGTGAAAACAGGAAAAAACAATGAGATCTATAGGGCAATACCATTTATGGAAATCAAAACACCGCATGTTTCACAAGGATGTGGGCAAACTTAAACACATATACTAAACACACTGCCAGGGGAGAGGGGAAGGGGAGCCAGGATAACAGGGAAACAGGAAAATACATAAAATAAAACATGCGAGGGGCCTTGTGGTTATTCGTGAAGATGATGTGCTGTAAATTGGCATATGATCAGCTCAACCTCAATTCTCTGTGCTTGAGGTGAGGTCTAAGGAAAAAAGGAAGAAAAGAGGGTGAGTGACTGACCCAAGGTCACCCAGCAAGTCAGGGGTGGGGCCCAGCGATGCTTCCCCTCCCTCCCTGTGACAGCGGGCAGGGCTCGGGCTCGGCTTACTTCTCGCCAGGGCGGAGTTGCTGTCCGCCTGGGCCTTGGCCAGGCCGGGCCAGGGCTGCTCGCGCAGGGCCGAGGGCAAGGCCAGCAAGCTGAGGAGGACCAGGAGCCTCCAGAGTGGATGCATCTTGGGCTCTGGGACCTGCAGGTGTCAAGAAGGGTCAGATGGGACCCAGGCGGATGGTTGCGGGGGTGGCCACCCGGATGGATGGACTCATGGTTTTCTGTGGGAAGATGGCACCAGAGTTAGCCCCCAGCATGCTGGGGGGAGGTGTCGTGATGGGCTCTGGCAGCTGCCCCCGGGGCTTGCTCACGTGGCGAGGGCAGCAGGTGGAACTCGGCGGGGAGGCCAGGGCTCCAGAGGGAGGCCTTGTTGCTTGGAGACGCCCAGCAGGGCCCACTGTTGGGTCATCCGGCAGGAGTCATCTGCCAGACCCTGTACAGGCTGGATGTTGGCAGCTCTTCAGTGGATGAATAAAGGAATGAATGGATGGGTGAGGATGGCTAATCCCAGGCTCTCCAATGGGACTAGGACTTTCTTAAGGATAAGATCATCCTCTGTGCCTACCACGAAGCTTGCTTGCCAGAAGTTAAGTGCTAGTGAGTGTTTGTTGAGTGACTAAATGACTGAATACATGAATGAGTAAGGTTGGCTGATCTGTGAATGCCCCACCAAATTATCAGTTTCTTGAGGGCAGGCTGTGAGTCTAATTAATCCTCATGAGTCCAGTGCCTTTCATCTTTACCACATGGTAGTTACTAATGAACGTATGTTAAATGACACAAATGAATGAATGATTGAATGATTGGATGGGTAGATGGATGGCTTGTGGATAAGATTTACAGGAGGGGGACAGAGAGGCTTGAAGCCAAAGCATTAGGTTTACCTCATTGCTCTGGGATTAGGGGTCAGAGAGAATTCAGCTCAAATCCCCCTGTCCTCACCACCTCGAGAAATGGCAGCACAGTCCATGCAGTCGCTCCGGCCCCAGCCCTTGGAGTCCTCCTTGACTCCTCTGTCCTCATCTCCCACAACCGTCTGCCAGGAAATCCTGTCAACACTTCCAGACTCTGACCACGTCTAACAACTCCTCCTCAGCCCCCGCCGTCTTGACCTGAATTATTGCAGGGGTGTCCTACCCGGTTCCTCCCTGGGTTCTGGTCCTCTGCGGCCTCTTCCCTCGCCCACCTACACTCTCTTTTGCACACAGCAGCCTGAGCAGGAGTTTTAAGACACAAGTCAAATCCGGACACTCCTCTGCTCAAAACTCCCCAAAGTTTCCCATGGCACGCGGAGGAAGAGCCAGACTGTGTGACGCCTCCCAGGCCCCGCAGGTCCCCTGGTGTTCCCTCCGACCTCACCTCCTACCTCTCCAGCCCTCGTCAACTCCCCTGCAGCCACAAAGATCTGGGGTGGGGTGGGTCTGGGCCCCACAGTTCAGGGGCCATGAGCTCTGAGACAAAGGCCCCTTCCACTCCCAGCACTCTCCCTCTAGGCTGCGGCCATGCACAGGGTCCTTTGCAAATTTCACAGATGCCCTGGGGCCGTCTCGTGCACCGTCACTCTAAGCTTTAGTTCAGGGTGACAGCTTTCCCGGGTCAGGGTCCTCTCTCAGGGTTCATGCTCCCCTTGGGGATGTTTGTAGAATATCAATCACTTTGAAATGTACTTTTCTAGTACTCCTGGTCTTGTGTGACCAACTGGGATTTTGTTACTTTTGGTCAAGTTAATTGGAGAAGAGTGAGTGCTGTTGGGAGGAGCAAGCCTATTGTCCTTGGTTCTTTGGAGGTCTGCACTTGGGGGTGGGGGTGGCAGTCCCGCCCCACCACGGGTTGTGGTTCTCAGAGTCACCGAGTCTAAAGAAATGACGCCGTGGAGGGTGTAGACATTCCGAGCCTGGAGCATGACAAGGGAGGAGGAGGGCACAGCTCAGGGAGAGCCCTGGATTTGGAGCCAGCTTGAAGCATAATCATGTGGTGGTTGAGAGCATAGACCTCTGAGTCACACAGACCAGGGTGCCAATCCTGGCTCTCCCTCTTGGCAGACTCAGTTTCCAGTTCTGTAAAAGGAGGGCGATAATAGGCCTAGGCCTCTGGACAATACCACACCCTCTCCATCCCAAGGCCTAGTCCACACTTCCTCCTCCAGGCAGCCCTCCCTGACTGCCCCCAGCCCCTTGGTCTCTTCCCCCTCCTCACTCCTGCAGCACTGACTGCCACGGCCAGATCCTTGTCTGCCTTGGGAAACTCTGTCTCGTGCCAGGAAGCTCAAGGTGGCACTGGGGTGAGAATCTGGGCTCATCTTGCCAGCTGTGTGGTCCTGGGCAAGCTCCTTCACTTCCTTGAGCCTTCATTTCCTCCTTTGCAAATGAGGAGTATGTCTATCGGGGCTGTAGTGAGGATTAAAGGGAATTGTGCTCAGAAACTATGTTGCTATGATCGCTGCCATCCTCATCCTCATCCTCACCTCTCTGGGCCTCAGCTTTCTCACCTGTAAAACCAGGAAGCTGGCGAAATGAATGACACCAAATACGAAGAACCCAGAGAAGGTGCCTGGGAAAGGGCAGATCACAGCGTGTCAAGGAGCCACCTCTCTTTTTTTTTTTTTTGGTGAGGAAGATCGTCCCTGAGCTAACATCTGCCAGTCCTCCTCTTTTTTTTTGCTGAGGAAGACTGGCCCTGGGCTAACATCCGTGCCCATCTTCCTCTACTTTATATGGGAC